GAGAAGGAGGGGGAAGGGCAAGGGGGACTAGCATCCATAGCTTGAGGAAAACTGTCAACAACCTAATGACTCATCAGCAGGCATTCTGGCTTTCTCTGATCAAAAAAAAAAAAAAATCCCCAATTTTTGGATATAAAAAAAGAAAACCAAGACCCAAATTTTTCCATGATTAAAATGAAACACCACTATATAGATAGATAAGGGTGTGTGTGTGTGTGTGTATTCTAATATAATAAAGGACTCAGTCCGCCTATCTGTCTGTCCATAACGCTCTTACTGAAACAACCAATTAGAGCGCTCCAAGGGCGTTAAGACAGGTGGCGGCAGTGTAGCAGAGCACCACCATGACAGCGGGGATGGAGTGGATGGGCAAGGCCGCATCAGTTAATAATTTAAATGATATAATTAGAGGAGTTCAAACAAATACGTTTTAAAACTATGTTTACACCCCTATCCCTGACCCCAAATATGGTGATTGGTTTGACTTGAGTGTAGGGGCAAGATCTTCTAGCCAGGAACCTCTGGCTCTGCTCTTTGCAGGAGAATTGGCACACCCCAGTTGAAGTCCCCAGCCTTGGCTATAGCCAACAGCCAGTGCCTCTGGGATGGCTTGAAAATACCCTGACACACATTGCCTCCAGCCCCCCTTCTCTGCTATGATCAAAGCCCAGAAGCGTGGGAAATGCCCACAGTAGAACATAGGTGTAGTTGCAGCTAGATCATCCCCCCACCATTGGCTGTTCAGCCTGTTCTTGAACATGTCCAGTGATGGAGAGTCCACAAGTTCCCTAACTAGTCTTTTCCACTGCCTCACTATTCTAACAGTGAAGAAGTTTTTTATAACCTGCTGCAATGCAACACTTATTAAAAAATCAGTTTTAAATCTCTCTGACAGAGAACCATTGCCACTGGTTAAGCTTCAGACTTCAGAGTATGGGTCTAACTTTTCATCTTTCTTAAGTTACTGCTGGGTGGCAGGTCAAGTTCTAGGGTTAAAGGCTTGTTTGTGAAAATGCCTTCACAATAGTGTAAGTCAGGCACTTCACTAATAGCACCTACAAGTTTCATCAAATTGTTTGGAGTGTAGGTATGAGCCATAATTCCTTTCTATCTGTTGTTTTTTCTTTTACCCAGAAGAGAAATCTGTTCTAGCTTCACTCTGTCGGGGTGAGCTATGCTTGCAGGAAGGTTGCTTTGGTGCTGCTCTCTATGTAGGTACAGGGTTCAGTTCACTGGTTATCAAGCTAACAGTTCCCTTTTTGTTGGCAGCAATTCTATATAACTTCAGAGTTTCAGTTTGATTGTGTATGTATATATATATATGTATGTGTGTGTGTGTGTGTGTGTGTGTGTGTGTGTATATATATAATCTAACTTGTGTAAAATGTCACACTGACATTCTGAGCTTCAGAAAACTTGGTGACTGATTCTTGGACAGGCTGACAAGGTAAAGAGAAAATGAAGCCATGGATACAAGTTTGGGCAAGCATTCCTAGTAGCTGGCAGTGGTAGTGTCAGGAATGCATGAAGTGAAAATAGCTGATTTTTTTTGACTGAGTAAAATTTTGCCCCAATTATATGGGTGACCCATAACCCATCATGTTCTGAAGTTGTACACAACGTCTGTTTCTGAATGCATTCTTCCTTCTAAAAGGCCTCTTTTGACTTTCTGTCCTAGATTCATCATATTGCCCACAATGGAGGATTATATAAAAGACCCTTCAATGAAGCTTTTGAGGAAACACCAATGCTGGTTGCTGTGCTGACCTACGTAGGCTATGGTGTTCTCACACTTTTTGGGTATCTACGGGACTTCCTGAGGCAGTGGAAAATTGAAAAGTGTCACCATGCAACAGAAAGAGAAGAACAGAAGGTAACTATTGGACATTGTCACAGCTGGGCTGACAGGACTGGGGCACAGCTGGCTTACAGTGGAATGTCATCAGCACGACTTCATGCCTGTGTGTAGAATCACAGCTTCAACTTGACTTCTTTTGTTTTTATGCAAAGTATTTTAGAAAGTGTGATCCAGTAAGGAGTTGGTTGGTTGTATCTGAAGGCAGCTTAAAAAACTAGCACTGCAAATTCTGGATTAATTGCAATGAGATGTTAACTCTGCTTCCATCTGTACCTCTAACATTTGGTACCAGAAACCACATCTCCATCCCTTTTTAGCCTTGTAGTGGGTCACAGTTGTGCACTCCTTCCATGTTCTCCTGGCCCCATGACTTTTATCTCTTGAATGTCCAGTGGACCAACTTCAACAGGAGCGATGGAACATGGTTCTCTTGATCCTGTACACCAATGGCCTGGTGGTTAGGGCACTCTGCTGGGAAGTGAGACATGGGTTCAAAAGCCTCTTAAGTTTCCCACTGAAAGGAGATGAAGTTTCTGTTAGATTGCCAAAGTTCTCATCTTCTCAGATGCAAACTTCATCTATGCAGGATGGATTAGGATTGATCTCCTAGGGCGGGGGTGGCCAGGATAACTGTTGTGGCAGCTCAGTGCCTGAGCTCCAGGGAAAGTGGCGCCTGAGCCAGCAATCCTGGGAGAAGTGGGCGGAGCTTCAGCCAACCTTCGGCAAGCCGCAGATACAGTGCCAGCGAGCTGCATGTGGCTCCTGAGCTGCAGTTTGGCGACCTCTGCTCTAGGGCCTACTGTGCTGCCTGTTGAAGGTGTAGAAGAGCTCTGGGCCTCTTTGGATGAATTTAGATCCTGCTCCAAGGCTGGATGTGTAATTTCTCTGCTAGGCATGGGAAGGATCTGGAGGTAGATTAGGATTTCTCTTTTAGAGTAAGAGTGGTAAGAGTGAGAGAATTTACTTCTTAATGTATGCTGAGTGCCTTCACTATTAAATAGTGGGAGTAGTGTAAATTCACACCCTAGTTTTATTTAATAGAAAATGAGGGTTGGAAGGGACCTCAGAAGGACATCTAGTCCAACCCCCTGCTTAAAACAGGACCAGCCCCAACTGAATCATCCCAGCCAAGACTTTGTCTAGCTGAATCTTAAAAACCTCCAAGGGTGGAGATTCCACAACCTCTCTGGATAACATATTCTAGTGCTTTAATACCCTCTTAGTAAGAGTTTTTCCTAATATCTAACCTAAACTTCCCTTGCTGCAACTTGAGACCATTGCTCCTTGTTCTGTCATCTGCTACCACTGGGAACCAATCCTACCTCCATTCCCTTTCATACCCCATACTCCTTTGGGAAGTTGAAGGCTGCTATTAAATTGCCCCCACCAGTCGTCTTCTCCAGACTAAATAAGCCCTGTTCTCTCAGCCTCTCTTCATAAATATGTGCCCCATCCCCTTAACCATTTTCATTGTCCTTCACTGGATTCTTTCCAACTTGTCTACATCCATTTTGTAGTGGGGAGTGCAAAACTGAACACAGGACTCCAGATGTGGCCTCACCAGTGGCAAATACAGGGGAAGAATAGCTTTCCTTGATCTGCTGGCAGTGCTTTTATCCATGCAACCCAGTATGCTTTTAGCCTTCTTTGCAACAAGGGCACAGTGTTGGCTAATATTTAGCTTACTGTCCACTGTAACCTCCAGGTCTTTTTCTGTAGAGTTGCTGCCTAGCCAGTTAGCCCTCCGCTTGTGGGCAATACGTGGGATTGTTCCATCCTAAGTGCAGGACTTTGAACTTGTTGAACCTCATGAGATTTCTTTTGGCCCTGTCTTCCAGTTAGTCAAGGTTTCTCTGAAATTTCTCAGTAGCTTTCTCGTGTAGAGTTGCTGAAGTCTATTTAAGCCAATTAAGAAGTGCTCATGCAGGGAGTTAATCAAGGGTAGCTGTTCTGCTTTAAATTTACTCTGCTTTTCAAACAAACTTACTCCCTCTGTTCATCCCCAGGCCTGACTTCCTGAATAAACTTCAG